ATCAAAAGACGAACGAACGAACGAACGAACGAACGAACGAACGAACGAACGAACGAACAACCCACACCGTTTTGCAGTAGGACAATATTGCAACATCCTCGCTAAATTTTATGCCATATATGTGCTGTTTACCCAAGAAAGGCCAGAATGCTTATCGCATTCCCGGGAGAACAAACTCTTCAAAGTCAGTCAATATTGTAAAATCGTGTTACTGAAAAAGTGCAATCTTTTTCGTGTGGCTTGAGCTGCTGTGACTGAGTAATTGCCAGCGAGCCCTCTCGTCCAATAAGAACATAGATGCCAACCGATCCCTGGCTTTTCCAGTACATGCAGAAATCCACACAGACGTCCCAAAACCATAGCAGTAAATATCGTTTTCAGTGTCATTTTTTAGGGAACGCTATCGAACTATAAACGCTATAGATATCTGACATCATGCTCGAGGTGACCTAACCAGTTGGTAACACATGTAATGCTTGTTAGTTTCGCTGCCATCTTGACAGCTGCTGTCAGTCAGCTTGAAACACACTGAGATGATACCTTAAAGATTAAAATTTTTTTCGACAATTTAGAATCCTGAGAAATAAGTGCCAGATTTGATTCCGTTCACTGAAGCGATTTATTGTCGTAGAAAAGCTTAAGAAATATGTGGCAAGAAATATATTTTTAACCCATTGAATGGATTTAGTTCATGTCATGATTACACACCACAGGATTCCCGCCACTTGATTTCAAAGCAAAACTCGCGAATGCACAGCAAACGTTTTTTGGGACTAATCTTGGACCAAGAACAACAGCAAAAAATCATTTTTATGCAGTCAAAGATGGATCAAAAACTGTTCTTCAAGTGTTAAGTTCAGTTCGCCTCCTATCGGGCGCCGGCTATCGGTAAATCAAATTAGTCTTTCTTTCAAAAGTTCTAATATTTTTGTCGATAATTTATCTAAATGTCGAATAAAATGTCAAAAGAATAACATATTGCATCAAGTATTCGCCTTTTATGTAGCTTTTCCAGCCAGCATGATTAGTAAAAATGAGCTTATACTTGAGGGAAGCCTTATAGTACTTTTCGGAAACTTTAGCCTCTAGTTTGTCGACTGGAAAATTTCTATTTCTAGATTATGGGAACTTGTTTTACCTTCAAACCGGGACTTTCAGCCCCCTCCCCCCCAAAAACAAACAAACAAATAAACAAACAAACAAACAAACAAACAAAACACAACAACAACAACAAAAAACAACAACAACAAAAATAATGCATCAGTTCTTATACACAGGGAATACTAAATTAAAACATCATACCTGTCAAAAACAAAACGGAAAATGGGAGCTAATCTGTTGTTGAAAGACTTTTCGAAGCATTTGCAGTAGACAGGAATGGGTTACACTATGGCGGATTAAAAGTGG